TGATATTAGCTTCATTATGTTGTCCGGTTTGCTATGATAACAAATTGCATTTAGAAGAAAATTCTAGATTTGAGCTATTATAAATATTATAAAAAATATTTTTTACTTCTAATTATTAATAAAAACTATATTTAGACATATATATTAAAGTGTGAAAATACAGTAAGATGGTTGTTTAATAAAAAATTGTTCCTGTGTTAAATGCTTTATAAGTAGTAGACTTTTGATGTTATTCACTAAATACTTTAAAATATCGCTAAATAATACGTTAAAATATCGCTACGTTAAATAAAACTAAGAAAATGTGTGAAGGAATGTGCCCCCTATAAAATATAATAACTTCCTACTGACAAACATTCATAGTTTTTAGAAAAAATGTAATTATAAACTTTAATTGTGTTTTTCTCAAAATGACAATTTTGCTGTTTTTTGTCTACGGAAAACAAGATAACTCAACTAATTATAATAAATTTGTCTTCAAACTTTCAGAGATTGTTTCTTGTATTGGTGGTTATGTAACAGACCTCCAGAATTCAGATAACTGTATTATTTTTTGTTTTATGAGATATTTTGCAGTAGATAATGTGAAGAAAATGTGAAAAAAAATGGAAAAATATGCTTAACACTCCATAAATTTTTTTAATTTCATGCTATCATTTAAGTTGAGGTTCATAACACTTCAGAGGGTTATACGAAACGGCTCAAAAAGTTTGATAGCTGCATGTACAATAGTTTTTTGTGTAGAGTGTTTTCCGTTAATGAGTTATTTTCATTAAAATTATCTAAAAAATACTCTTTAAACAAAAAATTTCCTGTATATTAAAATTTTCTCTATTAAATATGTTTATTTAAATTAATATACAATATAAATTGCAATAATGTTGTGAAAAATATTTATTTTTCAAAAATTTTGTCCCGAAGGTAGTCGGATACCTTAAATGTAACTTAATGTAATATGTAATATTAATGTAATATGGAATTTAAACTGTTTATTCTGTTCTTCCGATGATGCGTTCAGTAATACAAAGTAATAGTGTAGAGTCATGCATGATAATAATTTAATTTTACTTCGCTATTTCACTACTTGGTTCTTTTATTCTTTTTTGTTCATTCGTTAATTAAACTTTTTACTTTCAATGTAAGTTTTAGTAAAGCCATTTTTGCTGTTAACAAAAAGTTTTTTTTTATTCTCAAAATTCATTTATTTAAATTTATTTCTTATGAATTGTTCGAACTCTTTATTTTAGAAAAATAAGGTCTTACCCCAACTGTATTTCACAACACTGTTTCTCGCAATTGAATACTATTTTTCTTGAAATGTTATCTATTTCATTGTAAGTACTAACTTTACATATATCTTTGATAACAACATAGCTGAATTAATAGAACGTTTTCCGCTGTAATTATTTTTTTGGCCTTTTATCAAATACGCCGTTTTGGGGGGATGGGGATACATTCGATTTCTTCCTCTCAGTTAGCTTAAAAAATTTTGTCACTCAAGCTTCATTATATTCATCAAAAATAAAAAAAAAAGGGACTAGATGATCAACGTGGTGAAATAATCGTCTTCAATCAGTAAATTTTTTATTTATTTTAAATTTTTTTATTAAGTGATCAACGAAGCCCTAGACTTATCCCCTTCCTTCTCACTCCCGTAAAAATGACGGGGTGAGGATTCGCCCTCTATTTCTCGCTCCCGTGAAATTTCCGGGCTGAAGTGTTCAGTAGTAATGCGCCAATAAGAATAAAACTAATTCATTTCCTTTGCCCAGAAAACATTTTATTTCTCATTTTACACACCAGATGGCAGTACCAGGATATGTTTAAGGTAATTGTAGATAGTTTATTTTAAACTAGCGGACAGCACTAATCAAATACGTGTATTTTGCAAAATAGGCACTTTTATGAGCGCTTTCTTGAAAATTAACTGATCGTTAAGGGGTTAAAACGATAGTTTATTCAACCATCAAAGTCAATTATGCTTCTATCTAACAAAATCTAATAAAATAATTTATACCTTGAAAGAAAAAATATTATTTTTTTCATACAATTTATTTAAAATTTACACTCTGTACTTTATTTTAATTACTGCGTTTTCTTTACACATGTTGATGAGAGAAGGATATTAAAATAAAAATTTCCGCGAACAGTTACAGCTCTTAAATCTCTACTGTAACTTCTTGCTTGATAACAATGCAAATTTTTAACGTTTCTTGACCACTAGAAAAGAATTTATGGGCCTATTATCACCAGAGGGTCCTATTATTATGAAAACATCGATCAAAATTACGACCTCTTTCAACTCAAATCATCGCTAGAGCTCCTTGCCTGATGACAGAGCCGGTCATTTTTTGACCACAAAAAATTGAATTTATATTATCACCAATGGGATTTTATTAGCAACCATTTGTGTTTTGACCATTTGTGACTAACTAGATTACACTTATCTTTGATGGAGCTCTGTGTCTGGTGACAATCTAGGTTTGTATCGTTTCCCCACCGTTAGAAACTAAATTTCTTACCACATGATCAAGAAACGTAAATACAAATTTTGACCACTTACTATCTAGGGTGCTTATATTTTTTACAGAAGCTCTGTGCTGAATGACAATACAAGTTTCAAACATTTTTTGCCAATTTCAGCAGAATTTAAATCGAAATTTTATCGAATTTGTAGTCGGCATTCAACACTCTCCGACTAAACTAACCTACACAAATTAATTAATTAATATTTTAGAAACTACATTTTTCAGACAGATATAAATTAAACAATTTTACTTTCTTCAGATCTAATATTTCAAAGGTAGGGCGCTTCACTTTCGTAATAAGCTGAAGTCATTGCCTTTAAAAAAGCACTGTGCTTATTGTTTTAGGTCTAAAGGAAAGAAAATAATTTTCTATTTTTGGTTCTATTTGAAAAGCATAGTTCTTAAGATCGCAGGGTCTTTAAGATCGTTTCTGAACTTTTACCTATGCATTTTACTCGTTACCTTTTTTACATATTATATTTGTTACTTTTCCTAAACTATGCCTTTTTATGTCTCAGTAACTATTTCATACTACGTATTGTATTTTCACTCGTTATTTTTTAAAAGTAACGTATTTATATAGGTTTATAACTAACCGTAAACTTACTACTTTATTCGATAGAAAAAAAAGAATAAATATTCCTTACTTTAAGCTTTATTTAAATATTCCTTATGAAATATATTCATATTACCAGTACTTAAGCAATAAACTTTAATAGCTTTTCCATTCCTAATTTAGTAAATCATACTCTGTGTAAATATACGCATTAAGTCTTTCAAGAAAGTCTAATTTTGTCACATAATATGACAAAATTTTCTTTAAATCAGTGAAGTTTTCATGCTGTTTAATGGTCAATTTACGGAACTGTAATAGTCATGCATAATGAGGAATATTACTCAATCGTGAGCACCTAATGAAGATACATTATAAGCTTTATCTGAAACTTTTCACTTCGACGAATAATTTTTATTATTTTCCAGAGTTAGAGCGAGCAACTCAAAGTTTAAATGTTTGAAATGAAATTGTAGTAGTTTTTCGCATAAAAGTTGATTTGGTTTTTATAAAAGGTTACAATTATTTGAACTTCAAACAAAATAGCTTTTTTAATTTTTTTAATTACATTCGGACATTAAAGAAAAGAGATAAGTCTCACAAAATTATACTTTATTTTATATTTATAAAATATGCGAAAGAATAATATTTCCATTTACTTTTACTAAAAAGACTTATAAGATAACCTTACTACGCTGTAAAAAATTCCGGATCAAATTCCGGTATAAAGAAACAGCACTTTGGATGCATCATCAGTTAAAGTACATTTTATACCGTAAATTCATTTTTACCGTAAAATATTATACTGCAATTTTTACAGCAATATTTATTTAATTAGAGTGGTTCAGTAATTTTACGGTAATTAATACTGTAAAATATTGCGCTATTTCAGATTTTGATCCGCAAAATTGATTAATCCAGTACAAATTGATTTTAAGGTAAGAAAGTACATGCACACTGAGTGCCTTTAACTTTTACTGAAACTTGATTTGGAATTTTTTTACATGTAACTAGTGTGATGTGTTTCAACATGTCTGACACCAAATATTACAAAAATTTCTACGTGTCGATCAGCAAAGAGCACTGTTGGTTGTTAAAAAGTTTTGCTTAATGAAAACGAAAAAAAAAATCTGTTAAATTACCGTATTGTATAGTAATGACACTTCTGATAAAAAAAAAATCATAATTTTGGTTGATAAAACAAAAAGATACAGTATTTAAACCATTCATTTGGTTTTTTTCCTTTCATATGGTAACGGTTTACCGGAAATTCTGGTTTTCAAAAATATAGTTCTCATTACCACACATTTAGTAAAAAAAGTTATTTTTTTCTAATCACTTAGTAAATTTCAGTAATCTAGTAATTTTTTTTTGTAATCTGAAAAATAAATTTTATCAAATAAATGGTTTTAATGCCATGTTCTATCACATCATAATAAAATTACTAAATTTTACCACATTTATCAAATTATATTATACGTTATGAAATCATATTTTACTGTTAATTTTAACAAAATCATTACTAAAGTGCTTAATTAAGAGAATTTTTAATTAAAAACTAAAATTTAAAAGCCGAGCTTTTTGGTGTTCCCAGAGAGTAACACGGCAAATTTTACCATATTCTTTTGGTTCAGACATACTTCTTTTCTCAATGTAAGTATTTCATTCAGATTGTTATAGTAGAAGACATACTAACTTGTGCGTCTTATGCAATGTATTAACTTTCGAGATAAACTAAAAATATTCTTTGTAACAACGTTTAAATTATTTGCGCCATGCCTAACCTATTCATAACCACTCATCTAATTCCAACTATATAATCTAATAAAAATTTTCAATCTCATTATTCAGTTTATGAAAGGAATAAAATTTCATAATTTTTTTATTATTTCTAGGGAGACCATCCGTTAAACAGCATACCTTGATGGTAGACGACATGATTGCAACAGTTGCAAGTACAGGATCTAATGTTCACCTAGATCTTGACGGTCTGTTGTATTTGGGTGGAGTTCGAAGAATTTCTTACTCATCTCTTCCTAAATTAGTTCAATCAAAACATGGATTTGAAGGATGTCTCGCTTCTTTAGATCTTAACGGAGAAACTGTTGATCCCATTAAAGACGCTGTAGTACCTAGTACTTTGGTGTCTTCAGGATGTGCTGGTATGCTGATTTAATGTTCAGCTTAATATTTGTTAAATATTCGTCGTTATATTTACCCTCTTAGCACTACAGAACACTACTTTCTTGGCACTACAGAACCGGCACTACAGCCGGTTACCGGTCACTGGTCACGGCCGTCTCATTCAGTTATATTTATAAATAGTAATTTTGTAAATCTGTGAGTGGTTATCAGAGGATATTTGTAAAGATTAAAATTATATTACTTTTCAAATATCGTTTAAGTATTTTTGCGTATTTTGAATCTTTAAGCCAAAGGATATAGGAGACGAATTATAGCTTTTCAAATAAATAATTAACGCGAGGAATTGCTCGCTGTAGACCATATCAGAAAAACAATTTACTGGGTGAGCAGCATACTAAGATATAGCAGAACATCAAATATGCAAAGATCCAGCGCATGCGCATAAGAAGCAAAGTGATAGTTAGGTGGTACGTCACCTGTGAACCTTTTGTTGAACAACTCTATATATATGATTGCATACGCTGTTATCAGCGTCACTGCCATTTAATTCTTTCTTTCTATCTCAAAATATGCTGGCAGATATAAGCAACATGGATGATATAAAAGCATTCTTAAAGAAATATCTTAATTAATAGTACTGTACTGTTTATGCATAGTGCAAAAATGCAGAAAAAATCAACAATAAATAAAGAGAGAAAGCTTCTCATTTCCTCCGCAACTCTTCCCCAACCCCAGAAGTAGTTGGGAAGAGAGGAGGGTGAACCCCCCCCCCGTTTCAAAAACCTCTTCTGATGTGCCCCTAAATGTTGCTTTTTCCTTGTTGCAAAGGGAATGTACCAAGCCTTGGAGAACTGGTTTACGTTATGACTATCGAAGTTAGCCTTCTTCACCTAAGTATATTTTTTGTTTGAGCTGAGTATATTTTTTGTATGAGAGCAAGCATTAAACTAGCTAAGTTAATAAAGCAAAAACTAACAAACAATTCAAAACATTTTGCAAGCTTTTATTTGCAAACACATGCTTCTATTTGTAATAGCCTTGATTGAATCAATGATTTGAAGAAAGATTAAATTCTTAGAACATTAATTTGAACGTCCAACTTTTTCTACATTATTTACTTATTATATAATACTTATTCCGGACAAAAGAAATTCTTGAACTGTCTACAAATAATATCTAGTTTGAATAATTTGAATAATCTTGATAAAAATCAAATCTGATATTCATCAACTTAAACAAATGATCTAACGATTAAAAGTCAGATTATAGCTTCAATTTTCGATTTAGTGATTAAAAGTTTACGTACTGAATCGCTAACATGCTGTGCTGGCTCAAAAATCAGTTTTGAAATATAATTAGTTCAAACAAGTAATTAGGTTTCAAATTAGAAAACAAAAGACGACGTACTACCTCCAAATGAAAATATCCGAAATTGTTTTACATTACTAGAATATTATCCAAAATATAATAATTTTTGAAAAACTATTTTCTCTTTCCAAGCCATAAGCTCACCACCGTTATTGCTTACCATAAGACATGTGTTAGTCAAAAATAAATGAATAACCTATTTATGGTGCAAAAAAATAATTTTTTAGACTTTATTTTCATTTCTAAACTTCTTGATCAATTATTTTTTAGGTTGTTAATTTAACAAATGAAATCGAATATCACTGACTTGAATTAACAAAAAACGTTTGATAAATCTAAAACAGTTGTATTTTCTTTCATAATTTAGTTTAGTTTAACTTTAATATTCATACAAATTTTGAGTGGACTAGAAGGAAAATCGAAATTTTATATGCCTCGTAACTATTTGTAGGCATTACAATGTTCTCCCTAAACCTTTTTGAATGGCGGCCCACCCTGCTTGCCCTTTGATCCTAAAAAATGAGCCCTCTTTGCCCTTTTCGTAAAAACAAGCAGCTGTCCCTTAAAAACACTGCCATTTTAATTAATATTCCATGTTGAAAAAAAATTTATTCGCTGTTCAATTAATAATTACACACTGTTAAAATTATCTGTGTTTAAAGATTTAGTTCTAAATACTATTACACATATTTATTTTGTTAGGATTATTCGCAACTGGTTAACAAATAAATGTTTTAATTGGTTTTAAATTTTGAAACAATTTTTAATACTATTTACCTTTATAATAATAAATACCTTTAAAAAAAAGAGGCATCTTTCAAATATTTATTTTCTCATAATTTTCCGTTTAAATTATAGAAAAAAGCTTTCAATTTTTTTTCATCAATAAATCATTTTTTGTTAATTTACTTTTTTTGAAAATAAAATCTGCACCGAGATTGCCTTCTAGCATGCCTTTAATTATTTTTATTAACTACAAATTTTCCTCGTATTTTGATAATGCGAGATAATTATTTTTTGAAACATACACATAAAATAGCATAAGAGAGTAATTTAAAATTTCAGTTATTACATAATATTACACATTTTTGTAAATTTTTAGGGTGTTAAGTGAGTGCCCTTTCAAAACCCCAAGTGCCCCTTTCAGAGAGTAACTGTCCTGCCCTTTTTTATTACTAGGGAGAACTCTGGGCATTAAATTTTTTTTTTTCAATTCATTCAGGTCCTGTTACCAAATGCAGTACAACAGCATGTGCGAATAGAGGTATCTGTGTCCAGATGTGGAACAGTTACACCTGTGACTGTGATATGACATCTTATACAGGACCGACATGTTCGGACGGTGATTATTGTAGCTTTTTTTGTAATCGTGTGCAAATGTTTCTCTGTTGAATTCTATATATCTAAATGAATGTATTTTTTTTTTTTTTTTTTTTTTTTTTTTTTTTTTTTTTTTNTTTTTTTTTTTTGTAGAAAGCATTTCGTACAAGTTTGGTGCTAAAGGGGGTCTGATCACTTTCACTTACCCAACAGATAAAAGACCCGACACCAAAAGTGACTTGTTAGCTCTCGGATTTATGAGTTCGACGGACAATGCAGTTCTAGTTAGAATAGACAGTGGTAGTAGCAACGACTACATGGAACTTGAAATCGTAAGTGCTTTAAAAAATGTCTTATATCTGTTACTCGCATCTGTTTAGAAGGAATTTGGGTCCGTTAACAGACCCTTCACAAAATATCTTTTCATAAAAACGGACCCTTCACGAAATAACTTATCTTTTAATCGGACCCTTCACAAATTTGTTTATCTTCATCATTGTTTTGTTAATCGAATAAACCCTTCCCAGGGGAAGAAGAAAAAAGGAAGACGGTTCGAAACGAACTACGTTTTCCAAGATTCTCAAAGTTTAAATTCCAATTGTAGTATTCTAATAAAATATTTCTAGTTTTACAAACATCGTGTGCACATTCTTATTGATAATAAATTATATATATATATATATATTTTTGTAAATAAATAATTGATCAGTTTATATTTATTCATAAAATTAATTAATAGAATGTTATGTAAATAAAAATTTATTTCTGGCACTTTTTAAAAAAAAATATTATTAAATTAAGAATTGTTTAAGTTTACTTAATGCGTAACACATTAAAAGTGATACATAACTAAGTTGTGTTATTTAAAATATGTCATTATTAAAAATTATTAAAAATGTGAGTGATTTTGTTTCCACTATTCATCTGAAAAGAATATTCTGAGTTGAACAGTATAACTAAATACCAAATATTTGTATGTTGCATTTCTAATTTAGTAGCAGTAATTGTTGAACATAATCTTGTATTTATTTACAATTTAAAAACTTCTTGAAAAGAGTTTTAGCAATTTTTGCAATAACAGGACCCTATTTACACAATTTCATAAGAGCAGGACCCTGGTTGAAAAATGTGACTTAACGCTTAATATATATTCACAAATTAAGAGTAGTTTTTTCACAATTTTACCAAAACAACACCTTTCACAAAATGCTTGGACAGACCCCTGATAGAACAAAGGTAAATGCTTTTTAGTCAAAGTATGAAAAAAAAGATATGGCTATTATTTAAAAGGCGTTCATTCCTTGAAAATGCTCAAATATTCTTTTGAGAAGATAAAAAAATTGTCATTAAAAGCGTTCTATATGTAACCACAATGTATGAAACGCTAACATTCTGCAAAATATTTAGTCAATTTTAAGAATTCATGATGTATTTCATATACTTTGCGATTTGTCATTTGGTATTCGATAGAATGCCTTGGCACTACGCAAATTTTTTGTTCGTTTCATATTTTGCGAACAAGTTTTCGATATTCTATGAAATGCCAAGATGTTATATGGAATGCCGAATTTCAAACTAAATCAAAAACTTTATTTTGACCTGCACGATAGGACATCCAAAAAGTGACAAACCATTAAAAGAAAAAAAGAAAAGCACTTGAATTGCTTTTTATCATTAATATAAAATAAATGTGGCAAAAATACTATATCCAGAATGGTCCCACTTCAACGAAATATTTTTACAAAAACAAATTATAATAAATAAAAGAATAATTAGCAAAATTTTTAAACCGTTATGTACACTGTTTACTGTAAAACAAATGAAACAGAAGAAAACTCAAAATATAATTTTAAACAAAGATTCATTAAGCTATTGAAAAATGCAACTAATGATTGCGAAAACCATTTCCTGCTAATTAATTAAAAGAGCTAAAAATTAATTAAATAACAAGCGTTAAAAATTTCTGTTTCGATCTACACTCATAAAACTCACTGTGATCCGCCGAGCCAGAGAAATATTGTAAGAAAGTAATTTCCTTTTAAAATCTTTTTTTTTTTTTTTTTTTACGTAATTTGATAAACTTGGGCTGGAAAACATTTTTCGAAAAGGTCCATTATGTAGGTCCATGGCTCACCAGGCCTGTAAATATAGATTCGATACTTATTGCATTGATCGAATATAAATTTTGTAGGCATGTGCAAGCTGTGAATAGCGTTTCCTTAAAATAACGCTTTTCACACTTGAAGACTAATAGCATTTCCAGTTTTCGTAGAATTTACTTAAAAAGTTCTCAACACGTAAAATTTACTGCATAAAATTTAATTTACTTTTATAATTTTTTTTTTATAATTGAAAGACAAGCGTACTTTTTGCTCTTATTTGGATCATTTTGCAAGAAATATTTTTACCGTCTTTTGTGAAACAAAAATTAATCAATAAGTACATACTATTAAACACTGAAAACATCGGTAAAATTTCTAAAAAATTTTTGTGTAGAAATGAAAAAGCAGTTCTTAGTATAGCGTAAATATAATATTATCCGATTTCTTATACGCTATGTCAGCATATTTAATCTTTGTTTTTAATTATTTTTGTCAAAAAACTGTTTTATAATTTATAAACGCCATGAACAAAAATTTGCACATAATTCAATTTGTAATAACATTAAAAATAGCGTGGAAGTCAAAATTTAATCTCAAATCATCACCCATAACATTGAAAATATAGTGCAAGAGTTCATACAATATTTTGAAACTTAAATTTTAAAAAATCTATGAATAATATAGTAATTTTTCGTTTCGAAATATAGCAAAACTTTAAAGAAGTAAAGTGTTTTAAGTAATTTTAAGTAATAAAGGATTCAGATTTAGACACACCAGAAGAAATTCTCTCGCTACTATGAAAATGGAAATTCGAAATATTTTTTTCTTCTTACTTTGTTATCCAACATGAAATTACCTATATGTTTATTTTTATTTTAAACTTTCTAGGTTGATGGGAATGTCTTTATGGTCTACAATATGGGTACCGAAGACCATCCTATTGGCGAGCTTAGCGTAAACGTTAATGACCAGCAATATCACGTGGTGCGTTTTACGCGGTCTGGTCCGAACTCGACCATACAAATAGATGACCATAATGTGAGAACTAAACAACCGACAGGTATACACTTACTTTTGCATAATTTTGCTAATCATCGATTTTAATATTGTTATAAGAATACTTAACTTTCAGCTGACTGATTGTATTGGATTCTGCGAAGAAGCAATCTTAGAAAGCAATCTTTGCTCTAACAATCCACGGGAAATTTAGATACAGTGCGCCAGAAAAATTTTTTTATCCTGAATAACTTTTTAAATATTGATCGTGTATTTAAAATGAATATTTTTTAAAATTCGATTTCTCAGGAGCTATTCGCTCAAATTCTGTAATTTCTCATTTAAAATTACATTTTTTAATAATAATGTAAAAAATTTTGTGTCTTGCAATACACAATTTTTTCAACTGTTATTAAATAAAGTAGTAAGAGTTAATAAATATTTACTAAATATTATTCTATACATGGAATAATCTTTAGATAAATGAATTTTATAATTATGTGCAAAAAGTTTTTAATTCGCTTAAAAAAATTTTCGGGTTTTGGCGAAATTCGCAGCAAGTAAAATTAAAATGAAGGAACCCAAACTTTAGATCGTTTTCCTGACCAAACTATGATGATCATATATCTGAGGTTACGCCTATTCCCCTATATTTTTGGGTTCATAAATCCGAATTCGTCAAAAAAAAAGGTATGTTTATTCAGCGAAAGTACGGTTGTGTCTGATTTCTTAACTTAAAATATCGTCTGCACTAACTAATTAGCATATATGAGATCACCCCCTCGAACCATTAAGATTGAATCCTAGAACGTGTAGATCCGAATATTAAATCAAAGGTTATTCAAGTTGGTCCTTTTTTAGCGTTCAGTTCACGATTGATTATTGCAAAAAAGACAATGGAATTTATTTAAATATGAAAACTTTTATCTTTTTAGAAAAACACTTCTAAGTAAAGTCAGACATATTTTGAGTGTTCAACGGAATCTTCACCAGAGTTAAAATACGAGCAATTATCTGATGTATTTCAATTAATTTTAAATTAACAATTGAAGCATTTCCAATTAAGTTTTTCACTTAGCTTTCAATTCGTATTTCCTTCCTTATAAATAGTGCGTTGTTTACTCTAAACATTTTTAACTGTATTCAGAATTTCAAGATGATGTTTATAAAGATTTGAAAAATTATGTATGTTATCAATATAAAGTGTCAAAATTAGCATTCGACAGATCATATTCAAGCGTTTATAAATTAGCAGGTTTTTACAAAATTGTAATTTTTAACTTATATGTTTTAGGTCGTCAACATACTATTTTCAACAGTCATTCAAAGATCCAAATTGGAGGAAAACTCAATACAATAAAAAATAAAATAGATAGACCATTCCAAGGAGTGATATCTGGTTTGGTATTTGGTGGTAACAGGATTTTGGATATGGCAGCTGAAGATGATCCGAGGCTAGCCTTACAAGGAGACGTGGAATTATTAATCGTCATGCCTCCTGAGGGACACACTCCTTCTCCAGATGAAGAAGTAAGGAAAAATAATTTTGTCTATAATCTTAATAATAAATATTTAATAAATGTATTTAAATTGAACATCTAAAACTAAAATTAACGAAATTAAATTGCCTAATTATAGACTAAAAAGAGTTCAAACTTTGTCAAAACTTGAATTAAACGAGTGAAAAAAGCTATGCCACTTTCAACTAAACCATAGGTTCTCAACCTTTTTAACGTTGCCGCCCCCTTAAGGAGCAAAAAACATTTCAACGCCCCCCTTCGTGAAAATGCAGTTGTTTAGAACATGGGGACGGAGGGAGGTGTGCTGAATTATAAGCAAAATCTTAATTTCTTTACGCTTTAAATTTGTTTGGTCTCTTTAAAAAATATAATGTGCTCATTAACTCGATAATTTTCTCGCGGCAGGTAATTGCAGTCTATTTGTTATAATAAAAATAAATACGTTTAATGAAAAAAATACAACAAAGAAACCTATGCTTAAAAAAATAATTTATTCTCAATTAGATAATTAAAAAAA